GGCTGTTTATTTTGGCTGTTTAGATTTCTCTGCTCTGGCTGTGCTGGTGAGAAGTGCTGCTGTCAAACCATGGAGCCTTTTGGGATACTATTTCCCAGCAAAAACTGAGTGTGGATGGAAATACACAACACACACACAGAGACTCACACACACACACACGCGTGTGCGCATTGGTTTTGCTCAGAGCCCACCCTGGCCCTCGCTAGCTCAGCGCCCCCAGGGGATCTGAGCAGATGGGGTTGTCTGTCACTGTTCTGTGCATGGAGAGTGAACAGGGTTCCCACCCTGGTCCTCCCCTAGCACATCAGACAGCTGGTGTGACAGCCAAGTCCCCACTCCCTGCCAGAGCTCAGCCTCAGCTGAGGGCTCCTTCCTCAGAGACTCCAGACTTTTCCTCAGCTGTTCCTCTCACCCACACCCCACCTCAGGCATCTCCAGTGCTCATCTTTCCACCCCTATCCCCAACTCACCCTAAGGTTCACCCCACAGGCCGGCACAGCCTAAGGGCTTTCCGTTGAGCAGTGGGCAGTTCAGAAGAAAGCCCTATGCATGGCTGAGCCCCTAGCTTTAGGGCCAGTCCCCTGCTGGGATCCCTCATGGCCAGATCAGCCAGCTTTCTGACATCCCACCCTGGCTCAGAAAGAAGAATGCTCATCTTTTCTCTCTTCCACTGTGTCCCTCCTAGGATGCCACTTGGGCAACTGTTTTTTGATTTTGGCCTCTGACTCTTGGATAGTCTCCGCCCTCCATCGTTGCAGCAACCTGCAGCTGCAGACCCTCGGCAAGGCAGCCTCTGGAGGGTTCCACTTCTAAGACCTTGAATGTGGACCTCTCCGGCTGGAACTGCCTCCCTGCTCCTTTCATCCCCCTCACAAGGCAGGTCCTACTGCTGTTTCTCATTCCACCGCCAAGGCCTCATCCCCTTGGTCCAGATCCTGGGAGCCTTCCTATCAGCTCAACCTTCAAAATAGATCCAGACATGGATCCCTTCTCACGGCCTCCACAGCCAGCCCCAGCCCCCATCGCCTCTCACTTGGATCACTGTGGGAACCGCCTGACTGCTCTCACTGGCTCAGCCCTCGTGTCCCCTGCAGTTTAGCTTGTTCACAACACAGCAGCCACAGTGATTGTTTTAGAACTAAAGTCTGTTCTCACTTAAACCCTCCAAAGGGCTCTCGTCTCCCTCAGAATAAAATCCAAGATTGTAACCGTGGCCTTCAAGGGCCTAGATGATTTGGCCCCTGCCTTCTCTCTCCTACCTCATCTCCACCACTCTCTCACCTCATCTCCACCACTCTCTCCTCCAGCTACAAGGGCCTCCTGCTCTTCCTCCAACTCAGCAAGTACCATCCTGCTGCAGGGCCTTTGTACTGGCCTCCTGTTCTGCCAGCACTCTGGCCCCCGTTCTGGCATGGCTCATGGCCTTGCTTTCTTCAGGTCTCTGCTACAGTGTCATATGGACACCACCCTCCCATGCTCTTCCACGCTAAGCCCCTGTTTCCCTTTATGTTTCTGTATAATACTATGTATTTGTCATACCTGTCGTATTAGGGATTGATTGATTAATTGCCAGTTTGTTCCACAATTTTGTTCACTGCTGTATCTCAGCAGCAAGAACCTAGCCTGGCACACGGGAGGTGCCCAGTACATATTTGAGAAATAAATGAGTGAGTCTTCTAACCGGGTCTCTTAATTTTAGTCATTCTGACTTCCTGTCGCTCACCTCCAGGCTAGCTTTTTAGAAGCAGAGCTCTAAGGGCTCAGCGTGGTGGCTCACACCTGTAATCCCAACACTTTGGGAGGCTGAGGCAGGTGCAGCACTTGAGCCCAGGAATTGGAGACCAGCCTGGGCAACATGGTGAGACCCCATCTGCATATTCCAAAAACATATTTTTAAAAAAGAAGTAGGACTCTAATCCTCCCACTGCCCTGTTTAAAAACCTTTAGTGACTTTCCACTGCCTGCTGCATAAAGCTGGAGCACCGCTTAGCTCTCCAGCCTCGCCCTCTCCGTTCTCGTGTCTGCATGTTCTTATGCTTCTGATAAATTGGACCACTCAGCATGCCCTGAACCTTCTTTGCATTTCCTGCTCTGTGCCTCTCCTACAATAGCCCTGCCTGAGGTGCTAGATCTCCTCTCCAACTCCAGTCACCACCTCCCTTTCCTTCAGGCAGATGGCACCACCTCCATGAAGCCTTCTCTGACCACCCCACTCAGAGATGACTTTCCTTTCCATTACAGCTCTTGCCTTTGATAGTGTAGTAGGTACACCCATTGTGTCTCCCTGGTATCTGAGTTATCTCTTCGCCCAGCAGGATGATAGTCCCTTGAGGGGAGACGCCACGACTTGTCATTCCATCTTTTTAACCCCTGGGGTTCCATGTTGCACACACAGTGGGCAACCCACAAATATCTGTGGACTGAACACATGCTCTTGGACCCACGCTAGTGATGGCTCTGCCTGCCTGATACTCACGTCGATCTCGCTGAGGATGACATCAATGATGCTGCCAATGACAATCAGGAAGTCAAACACATTCCAGGGGTCTCCAAAGTAACCCTGGGAGGGAAAAGGATGGAAGAGCGAGGGGGTGAGCTTTGGGAGAAAGGAACTCTGGCTGCTAGCAGAGGACAGTGTCCCACTCGAGTTAATGTGGAGCTGCGGGTCAGGTCAAGGTGAAGTGCCCTGACTCCACCTCCCTACTGGTGCTCCAGTGGGCTCCCCCACTCCAACCCTCCTCTTCCCTTTGCTCTTT